TCTTTATTATTATTATTATTATTATTATTATTATTATTATTATTATTATTATTATTATTATTATTATTCAGTATTATATTTTTGGTACAATATAGAATTCTCAGCACAAAGTATTTCAAAAAGTTTCCGTTTCTTACTTCTTGGACGATCCTGACGATAAATAATGAGTGATCGCCAGTAAGATGTTAGCAGTCCAGTAAATGAACATCTGAATAATGTATATTCTTCTCGCTGCATATTGGGCTTTTTGTAACTTTGACAACGAAAGGCTGTACACTTTTCAGAAACGCACTTGTTGAAATATCTAGATGGCAGGAACAGGTAGCCCAGATGCTCAAACAGGACACCGTCTGTTCTTCTGCCTTATTGACCACGACCTTTGACTGAAGATCATCATAGTATCATAACATCCTTTTAGGCCTTCCCACACTATGTGGAGTTTTGGCCTGGATTACTTATGAATAATACTATCGCATTTAATTTTTCCCATTATGCCGTTGGTGCCACCACGTAGAGAAACAATTGTCAATCAAGTGAACTCATTTATGATTGTTATCTTAGAGAGCAGCCTATAATTAGCATTCAGTTGATAACAGCTGTTATCATTTTGTTATTTAATATACCATTTATATTGTAACTGTAACTCGTAACATTTTGCTTTACTCATAAACAGACACAGGTTCGTAGTTGTAATTCTTTTTGGCATATAATTAGTAACTTTGCGTATTGTTATATCGTGAATAAGCTCTTGTACTGGGATCCACCACATATGTTATTGTTTGAGTTAAAAGATTTCTGAAATGCTAAGCTGAATTTGCTGTACTTCATATATATGTTTGTGTCGGGAGAACTACCTTAGTTGATTACTGATAATTTAATTTTTCGGGTGGATTTTATGAGCCCAGTTTCTATAATCAGAAGCAATAGTAAACTGTCTAATTAAGCCTATTTTTACATATTCACCTGCGTTCAGATTTATGACGTTAAATTCTTTCGAAATAGTTTATATGACAGCCGTAGCATTGCATTAAGACTTATTTGTATTTGTAGGCCGGATTGGTCACTAGTATGTATATCTACGGGAAGATGATATCTGGGTGACAATTGAAAAGACATCACTCCTAAATTCGACATTACATAGAGAGAGATATGTACGGAAATTATTAAACATTTGTTACATGGGTTGTGAAACGGAAATGATAGTAATGACCTATTGTGGATTTGATTCTCCTTCATTTTTGAGGGGAATTTTCGTCAACTACAACATTCGACAGGTGAGTGTCAGACGTAGACCGATCATCGCAAATAATTTCTAAAACCTATAATTTATGTTACCAAATGACAGTACGACGTCATATTTTATGGAAAAAGTTATAGTTTGAAGGAATATGTTCAACATTTGTTATCCGACTTCGTGTTTCCGAATTACTCGAAACAAGTAAGTACCTAAAATGTATGACAATATTTAAAACAGATTTGATAATATCAAACTTTCATCAGACAACTTCTATATCCGTGGATTTTTTCATGGGTCAGATAGTTGCATTCATGGTTTCGATTAAACTTCCTACCAGGATTATTGAAATATCTAAATATAAATGATGGACACTCAAATTACGTCAATCAATTAGGGAAACCCATATGTTAATGATTATTTCACTTTCTACATAAAAGATTTTATTTGTAATTTCGTTTTCACAATCAATGCTTCAAGTAAATAAATTCTTTTCCTAAATGAAATGTATTCATCGTACACTTTCATCGATCCTTAGAACCAAGAAGAGATTTTGATAAAATAGTAGTTACCTTCGAGAACTAAATTCTATCACTCATAGGAGGAACTGGTGATATGCTACACTTAATTTAAAATGGTTTGTAAACCATTTTACTTATGCTAAATGACTTTTTGAAAGTAACATGGACAATTGTAACTTGACTAATTTGATTAATTCTCTAAAATCCATTTGGTCAGAAGAAATTGTACTACTCTGTTAAACTTTATACGAATGAAATTTAAGCTTTCGTTGAAACTAATTATTCATACGTGCAATTGTTAAATTCTTTAAAAGATGTTTCGTGTATTTCAAATGTGTGATATAATTCACTATAATACTAATACTAATAATAATAATAATAATAATAATAATAATAATAATAATAAAATATTCTCAATCATTTACCGAAAATGCACTTGTTAGCACTAATTTAAGCTCAGTCATAGTAACACTAAATTAACTGTAATTTTCCCATTCAAAATGAATGGATAAAGTTGTTGACAAACCATGTGGTGTGTGGTACTTATACGAACAGATATATGTAGTCTGCATCTAACGACATGGCTTATACCAGAAGTTAGTGAATATATGGACTGATGCCATATTTTGGTTTGACCGCTCCTAACTCTTCCGTCTCCGACATTATTCAGCATTGCGCGCCATAGTAATCGGTTGTTGGGCATGCGTAATACTCGCCTTAACCATCTCAGTCAGTGAAGATTCACAACTTCATCGACTAATTTACTATCATCCCCTAATACTGTACATCTAACCTCACCATTACTTATAGATGGCGTATGAACCAATTATTGGTCTTTCCAAAAATTTCATGCAATTAGTTCCCTTTATAAATTAAAATAAATCAAGAACAAATATTGATGCAAAATCGTATAAATTCATAATATTTCGAGGTTTCTCGTCAGCTGCTTACAACCAAATATGTAATAGAATTTTACATTGAGATAAGAAATAGTGTGGAACAATTAACATAAATGAATGTAAATGATTGGAATAACAAAGGTTTACAATATATATGCAAGAACAGGTCAGATGTTAATTGGTGTTAGAATTAAGGAAACAATTCAGGATGGGTCGTGTCGTAGTTGGGTGGAGTTCATAAATTGTGTGATAATTGTGGAGGGAGTGAAGGCTTCACAGAATTAAACAGTGATAAGATAGGTTACGTAATAATTGAATAGAGTTTGAAAAGTTAACATAATTTAAGAGGGTAAGTGGGCGGAAATGTGTGAATGAAAAGTTGGTTTAAGAATTCGGTAATGGGGAAGAAATATAACAAAATAAAATAACACAAGTAACAAATAAAACAAAAATGGATTACCAAGGTAAACTCTCCAGGTGGAGTGGAGCTTACCTCAATTATAACAGCTTCTGTCCTATGAGTTACAAAAAGGGTATTGTACGAAACCTTTCTGACCGCGCACGTAAAATCTGCTCAAAGGAATGCCTTGAAGAAAAAATTGCTGTAATCACCAACTGTCTACGTGAAAATGCATATCCGGATAAATTTATGCATAAATATGCAAATGCCAACCCTCCGATTAAGTATGATACAGTTGAAAAGTAAACCTGCTTCTTATACTTGCGCTTTAAAGGAGATGAAGTCACTGGAACAATCAATCACAGAATAAATTCCGCGTTGAAAGTGACCTACCCAGCAGCTAAACTGACGACGCTAAGGGAAACGAACTGCTCACTCAAACAAACTAAAATTGACAAGTCCTCTTTTCTCAGTAACTCCAACTGCATTTACCAATTCACATGTACGTACCATAGCGCATACATTGGAAGAACTGAGAGAAGAGTAGTTTACTCAACTACAACACCACCCATCCTGAATTGTTTCCTTAATTCTAACACCAATTAACATCTGACCTGTTCTTACATATATATTGTAAACCTTTGTTATTCCAATCATTTACATTCATTTATGTTAATTGTTCCACACTATTTCTTATCTCAATGTAAAATTCTATTACATATTTGGTTGTAAGCAGCTGACGAGAAACCTCGAAATATTATGAATTTATACAATTTTGCATCAATATTTGTTCTTGATTTATTTTAATTTCAATTATTAGTCACCGGCTACCATTGGACTGCGTCCCCTAACGTTGTTCCAATGCCTTGTGGATCAGACTTTTGGGTCGAAGTCTCCGGGTGTGGCTCCCTAAGAAAATCACCTGCTACGGTTTGGGCACTGGATAGTATCGCAGCCCGCACACAAATCAAGTGACTCATGTGGTGCATTTGTAATCGGTGCCCTTTTGTACTAATATTTGTGTTCAAAGTAAAATAAATAATGACTTACCTGGTCATCTCAGCAGATGCTGGCAATATTTCTGAGGCATCTGTGATCAAATACTAGTAACTTACGAGTATCTGATTTTTTTGTGTTTGCAGTTCATGAGTATTTGTTGGGCGTACGATAATTATTGAGGTTAGTATTTTAGATGCTATGTTAAACCTTTCCGTCTATAGTTACCACGGGGTGATTTTGACCCCTTCTTATATATTGAAACGATCAGTCATTGCAACCAGTCAGATGGAATTACGTCCAACTCCTAGATTTTAGCTAAAATATTTGTCAACCTAATCGCTAAAACTAGACCACCATTTGTGAAGACCTCTGGAGTTAATCCGTCTGGACCAGCTGTTCCTCGTTTCAGATCAGCTATAGCTTTTTGAACTTCAATTAGAGTTGGGGGACCTATTTTTGTGTTCTAATCAGGCTTCTTGGAAATAGTGGGTGGCTGTAGAGTAGCTGGAATGCTCCTTAAAGTGTCCCATCTATCTTTCTAAACATATGGACTAAGAGTAGATAAGACTGCCGTCTTTTTCCAAAATTGTCTCACATTTAACTTCTTAATTCCAGTTTCTTTTATCAGTCTGAAAAGCCGTCTTATGTTACCTACAGCCGTTGGCTTTTCCATCTCTTGCTTTCTTCGCCCACCACTGCTCACGATCGGTCCTTAGACTTTTGGTTAACGTAGATCTGATTTGTTTTCGTACGTCATCGTGTTCGGAACCTTTTGGAATTTTCGCTAAACCATATTTTTTACAACTTCAGAAATATTCAGTTCCTTTAAGATAGATTTATTCATAAGATTAAATCATTTTTGTACCAGTATTTTGGGAGCAGAAATATGCTCGGTGTCAATATTTAAATTTTGTCCACATTTTAAATAATATTCAGCACTCAGTTATGTAGGTTTATTATGTAACTTGACCGTTAGATATTCCGGATGACATTGTCGATTTTGACGAAAATGATGCTGTTGCAAAAGATCTAGCCGATCCAGACAAGAGGATTTCAATAATGGCTGCGGATAAAGCCATCATGCCCAATAATGAGTTTTTCGACGATCCAGAAGAAGGTTCTGGGCTTGGAGGCACCACACTTCGATCAGGCAAATCAGCTTCACGAGATGTTCAGAATCACCGAGACCAACCAAAACGCGCACGCACGGATGAAGATGCCAGTTCATCCACCACGAAGCCAAGCAGTAAAGAAGGAAGTGGGTCTAAAAAGACAGATTCTACTAGTGACAAGGTAAAATCAGTTTGTCATCACTAATTTCTATGATTAATTATGATAGTTAGATGTTATGCCTCCCATTGTAGACCACTTCTTTAGTTAACTGTCATCATCGTACTATTGAGATGTGTCAAGTAATTACTTTTTTAGGTATGTAGTTTGTTAGTATGTGTTGAATGTCGCTCTTACCAGTGTTTAGAACTAAACAATGAACACGATTGGCATTAATAAATGTACTGATCCCCACATGTTTCATACTTCGGTACCTTTCAGGATGTTTGGGTAGCGTAGTGAAGATCGATATTCCTGTACCCATTTTGAAATGTAGTTGTTCATGATCTTTTCATACTATCTTCAATATGTTATCTCTAGCACAAAATTAGAAGACCTTCCTGAGATCGCACGTGGATACTTTCATCTCGTTGACCACATTTCCAATTCAACCAAATTACTAATAATAGAGCCATATTGTATTTATCAGCAAATGTTATCTGTTTAGTGACTTGATTAGTTCATGTTGGAGAGTTTGTAGTAGTAATAATCTGAGATTCTATTCATCCTTCTTAATCTGTGTATATTTCCCATAACTGGTCATTCTAGCGCTTCTTCTGTCTTATTGTGTCCTACAAAATAAGTAAATAATATTTCATAAACTGATCATTTGATTTTCATTGTTTGCTTGGTCGTTTACAACATGCAGATTTTGTTGTGGTCATTATGCTCAAACGATTCATTTAAGTTATGCATTCTCTTGGAATTCACATCAATGAGAGTTGTTTTTTTCTCATTCTTATACACAATTGATCAGTGAGAGATCTAATAGAATGGTACTTAACACTTCTGTTCGGTTTTAGGTTCATGTGATCTTATCCTCGCTTTTAGGTAACCGTCTACCCATTTCCATTGCTAACTAAATATCTACAACACTGTCCAACTGAACTACTCATTAATTCTTTATGACAATTGCTTCAGTAAACCGTGGTAATCCTCTGTTCACTAATTGTCCTAATCGTCGAATTTACTACTGTTTGGCGAAGCAGTTGCCATTAAAAGACCAACCAAATTTGTGTATCTAAAATTATTCAGTTACCAATCTTGGTCTGCGTTTGTGAACTCATTCATAAATGCTTATTATACAATTTTTCTCATGACAGTAATTGTTAATACTAACCTATTATCTGATCTGTACTCAGTTAATTTTTTTTAAGGGTTACATACCTATAGCATTAATATCTTGTTTCTAAATAATTTTGTTTCTATATTTTTAGTCGTCTATACAAGAATATTTCTATATTCACATTATTTAACATATGAACACTTATAGTTCTTCCATAGTTATTCCTTTTTTCATTAATCCTTATTGTTGATAACACTTCTGATACTATGATATGATATAAAGCGTGTACACTGATTTTTAATGATTGGTACTATTATGTTTAGGCTGTAAGCAGCTGACTAGAAACTGCGAAATATGGTGGGTTCATGTTATTCTGTTACGTTGATTTTTCTTGCCTTATTCAAATTTATAAATGGGAGGAATTATATTAAACTAACTTTTTACACAATTGAAAATTCCCATTAGTAAGTCTTTAGGAGATAGTAATTTGTTTCAACAAGCTCGTATTTCTGATTTGCCTAGAAGGCATTACACTACTGTCAATACCAGGGAAGGTCTTCAACAGAGTGTTGTTGAACCGGATGAAAGATGCAGTAGACGCCCAACTTCGAGATCAACAAGCTGGATTCCGTAAGAATCGATCATGCGCAGACCAAATTGCAACACTACGGATCATCGTCGAACAATTAGTTGAGTGGAACTCATCACTATACATCAACTTCATTGATTATGAAAAGGCATTTGACAGTGTAGATAGGAGGACATTATGGAAACTTCTTCGACACTACGGAGTTCCTGAGAAGATTGTCAACATTATCCGGAATTCATACGACCGACTACAGTGCAAAGTCGTGCATGGAGGACAGCTGACAGATGCATTCCAAGTAAGGAGCGGAGTCAGACAAGGCTGTTTAATCTCTCCCTTCCTCTTTCTTCTGGTGGTCGACTGGATTATGAAGACCTCGACATCTGAAGGAAAACACGGAATACAATGGACAGCTCGAAATCAATTAGACGATTTGGACTTCGCAGATGACCTAGCCCTCCTATCACGTACACACGAAGTGATGCAGATGAAGACAGCCAGTGTATCAGCAGTCTCTGCATCAGTAGGCCTCAGCATACACAAAGGGAAAACCAAAGTCCTCAAATTGAAAGCGGAAAACAACAATCCAATCACTCTTGATGGCGAAACTCTGGAAAATGTAGAGTCCTTCACATACCCGGGAAGCACCATCGATGAACAAGGAGGTTCAGATGCAGACGTAAAGGCATGGATTGGCAAAGCAAGGGTCGCATTCCTACAATTGAAGAACATATGGAACTCGAAACAACTTTCAACCAATATCAAAATGAGAATCTTCAATACCAACGTCAAGGCAGTTCTACTGTATGGAGCTGAAACTTGGAGAACTACAACAACCACAATCAAGAAAGTACAAGTATTTATAAATGGCTGTCTACGCAAGATACTCAACATCCATTGGCCGGATACCATCAGCAATAGCCTTCTGTGGGAGAGAACAAACCAACTTCCAGCTGAAGAAGAAATTAGGAAAAGACGATGGAAATGGATAGGACATACATTACGCAAATTGTCAAACTGCATCACGAGGCAAGCCCTAACTTGGAATCCTGAAGGGAAGCGAAAAAGAGGAAGACCAAAGAACACATTGCGTCGGATAATAGAAGCAGATATGAAAACGATGAATTACAACTGGACGGAGCTAGAAAGGATTGCCCAGGACAGGGTCGGATGGAGAATGCTGGTGAGCGGCCCATGCTCCTTCACGAGGAGTAACAGGCGTAAGTAAGTTAGTAAGTATGCGATTAGCAAGTCATCAGTATGGACGTGAACAAAATCTAAGTCTCGTACTATGCTATCGATAAATTTTTGGAAAGTTTGAACAGCATTCCGTAATCCAAATGGTATTCGTAGGAACTCAAACAGGCCAAAAAAAGTCGTGATAGCAGTTTTCTCGATGTCTTCGAGAGCGACTGGGATCTGATGACATACTTGTACCAGATCGATCTTAGAAAAAGTAGTCATGCACTTGAATGATACCGTGATGTCGTGTATGTGGGGGATGGGGTAGCTAGCAAGACATTAAGCCACGCTTAATGCTCGGTAGTAGCCGCATGGTCTCCAACGAACCCCATCCTTCTTGCGAAACATGTGGAAAAGTGAGACCCAGGTACTGTGAGAAGGACGAATAATACCAGTAGTTAGTAAAATGTTGAACTGACATTTAGCGAAAGCTAATTCTTCCATTGCCGGTCGGCAAGGTCTTGCTGTGACTGGGGGTCCGCGGGTGACTATGTGGTGTACCACACGATTGGTCCCCTATGGGACCTTCTTGAGAGATTTAGTCAATTGGCAGAATTTCTGGAATAAAGCGCGGAATATATCGTCACGCGAATGAAATACGCCTGTGGTTCGGTACGCGTTCGCCTGAGCTTTAAAGCTCCTGAGTTTACTGTTTGACGAAATATCGATTAGCTGCAGCCTACGTGAATCGACTGGGATTCAGTGCTGTAGAAAAACGACACCGAGTATGCCGTGGGGACATCGGCAATGATGAACGTCCACAGATATTGTCGTTGGTTGCTCAAGCTGACCGAACGCTGTCATATACCACAGGTGGGAATGACTTAGCCATTCGCAGCGCGCGGTCGAAGCACTGCAGCTTGCGACTTATTGTTACCAACTGGTACGACAAAATCTTGGGAGCCTGTATCTACTAGGTACCCAGCGTTAATACCATAGTCATGCACATAAAATAAACGACCAACTTAAGGTTAGTGGCCGGTGAGCACGGCCGCATTTATCCGCCAGCAAGGGAGTTTCCAGCCTTGTATGAACAGGGGGCTTGACAATGGTGGGCACCGCACCCAAAGACATGGTGAAACCAGCTCAAACCAGTACTCGCTTTCAAAACCGCCTCCTAGAGTGGCTTGGAATATGCCTGCTTAGGGCGAGTAATTACGCTTTTACATGACCGCGACATGACTCGTGGGATGTAGGGTTCTGATATGCTGGAACGGTCTCGGAAATTGATACGGCTATGTATACGTGACATTGAGGCGACTATATAGATGTCTCAAGTGCTAGCCCTTGTTAATATCTTGTCCGCTATCAGGGAGATCTGGTTAAGTGGTGTGTTCTCAAACAGGGCCGTAAACTTAGGCTTTATATGTGCTGGTAATGAATCGAGCCACAATCCCTTGAATATTTCGGAATTGGTTGTCGTGGGTCCTGTTAAAGATTGCAGGCGCGTGAGGAGGTGGTTCGGTTTAGCATCCAATCAAGTGACGTGCTAATAATGCCACTAAACGTCCCCCTTTGATAGGAGGAAATGTTTAAGAATCGCCTCCTTGAGACGGTTCAACGATCGTCAGGTACATCGGGATTGAGCACCACCTCACGGTCAACGGCAACATGATCCCAGGCAGCGTTTCCAGAGCGTAGGCGTATATTTGCCGCTGGTTCGTAACATAGCGGATATCGAATTGAGCCTTCAGTGCCGGGAAACTGATTTCTGGATCGTGGAGGATAAAAGAGATAGGTCGAAAATTGATAACCTGTACATCGGTGTGTTATATTAATAACATTCTTATCGTTATCCATTATTTCGAATTGTTGCCAGGATATATTGAAAGGTACCAATATGAAATGTGAAACAAATCTGGATGGATAGATGTTAAACTGACAGTAATAGTCTTCTTGGAGGGATTTTCCAATTGTTGAGCCATGTCCGAAGTTGTCACTCACCAGATGTTGTAGGCGTCGAGTCGCGGTTGACTATGATCACCACTACAGCAAGACTACGTGCCAGTCACAGGTTAGACCCCTCCATAGGCAAAATATCAGAAGGCAGTTGAAGGTCATAGTTAAAGTGTAATCGTTGGAGATCTCGTGCTATCGAAATAATAACGAGGTCCTGCCAAAATCTACAAACGAGAGTTCTTAAAAGATCATAGACAACGAAAGAGTGTTTTTTGGTGCACTTAAACAAACAGGTACGGCAAAACAATCAATGGTACAGTTCACTATAATAATAATTGTTTCCATTACAACAATCGCGTTCTCTTCATATAAGTAGGTCACTACATGTTCACAGAACTTTACTAAGAATGCACTAACAGGTTGTCAACCTTCCATCCTTAATTTAAAAATCTGAAATAAAACCAAAATCGGGCGAACTCAAGATTTGTCATTCTGTTTAAAAGATCTTAGTTGTCAACAGGTGATCAACAAAGTCTAGTAGTACCTCCTAAACCCAACACATCTAATCAAGCAACGTATCCATGAGAGTCCTCATGTCTACCAAAAGAGACCTGGATTTTTAATTTTAATTTCCTGACTTTAACATTAATTTTGGGAAGATTGAGTTGTTCGCTGTACGACCTTGAGAATTGAAGCATAGCCGACACGTAGGACGCTTAACAGGAAGAAGCTTGGAAAAACAGTTCTCTGTTGTGTCTCACACTTCAAATGGCAACAAAATGTAGACTAGTTCGCTGGCCGTGTGAAGAAACGAAAAGCTGAAGAATAACTAAAACTGAGGTCAGATACTGAAGGGCCTCACAATTGTAGACTTTCGGGCGATGCGGCTTCGACAGAGAATAATGTCGAAGACAATTACAACTCAACCAGGTTGTCTTCGAATCTGTCGCACGTAGATCTCCTCGCCTTATAACACATCACCCGTTCATTCTCTTGTAGATCTCTTCAAATTACAATAAGAATTGTGAATTACAATTAAAATACATACTGACTGATGCTTTAGCTTCTGCTAACTACTCAGAATGTATAGTAATACGCTGTCTTTTCAAAAAATTTCTTTAAACATATATGTTTATATACATATACCTTTTTTTTCACGTGGATTGCAGTT